CATTCAGAAGTCAAATATACATTTATCATATATTTCTAATTTTAAAAATGTTTGGTCCCCGAAAAAGGATCATTGAGATAATTTTAGGAAACATGCGTTCGGCAATCGAACTATTATTTTAATACATCTGACGTGAAGGAACGAAAAGTCGATAATTCAGTAGAAGAGAAAATAAGTAAAATGACAAAATGACAAAATAATAACATATAAGAAGAATAAAAATGGGACGGAAAATACGAGTTGCAAATCAATGTAGTCCATGAGTACACAAAACACAAAAGCCAGTCCTAAACATAATACCACAAGACTTTTTTTCGCTTTACTGGGGTCGAATTAATTACACGAAAATGGTATAGATACACACCAATATTCCAAAATGTTAAGAAAAAGGGTTATTGAACACAAATGGCACTGCCAGCTTTAGTTTTATCATATTTTTTTCCTTTTTTTTTTAATTGTTTTAGCAGGACTGGAACGACTGATGCTTTATCGAACGACGAAACTCTAGGTAGCCAAAGATGGCAGGAACAAAGCTTCCAGTTCCTTTGATCTGTATGATCACGCGGGCCGCACTTCATTTTCAAAACTGCGTAATTTTTTCGTATTGACTAATTGTTTTAAAATAATTTCGAATCGTGTCGAAACTATATTTAAAAAAATGTGCAAACTCCGCATTCAGCCAGTTGTTTTATGTGATAAAACTCAAGAGCAGACGTTGTCGAGTTCAATTGTTTTGTCATTAGAGAGATGAATACTTGCCACTTGACTTGCGTCTCTCTTTGTTTGAAGCGGCCTAGGGCTGCAGGATGCCCCGATATCGACATATTGATATCCCATCATTCATTTGTAAGTTACTCTTCTAATTCATTAATCATTTTTATTCCGCAAGAGAAGTAGTAAAGCTTGTACTTACTCAGCGCACAACGTAAAGACAGGGCTGTGGACATTTTGCTGGTTTGAATCCCACGCATCGCACCACTTATCAACTTACTCAATCACAAGTTGCCGTTAGTATATGTCGACACCCTTATAATGGTCCGTGACTTGACAAAATCACAAGAGCAGGAGATTTCAGATAGCGGCTTTCAAACTATTTTTTTGGACATGAATGCAATAAACATCACATTCGACAACTTTTTGCTGACATAAGCCGGGAAAGTTCTATTTTCCCACTCGTAAACGGACCAATGAGACTAAAAGCTCTTTGTAACAGATGCAGAATGCTGTTTATTTAACAAATACAAGTGATTCACGACACGGAAATCGATTTATCAAGCTAAAGTTTTGTTAACGTGAAGATAAAAATGGGTGTTTAAAAAAATTGTAAACAACTCAAAACTAATCAGGATCCTCTTTTATAGGTAGTTGTTGTTTGGAAATAAATGTTATGTCCACCGGGAACTAGCGCAAATATGCCATCTGTTCATCTACGTGCACCCGAACAGAGATAACTGTCATCTATCCATCAAAAGATAAAAGTGCGTGTCTTAGGCCCGTATAATATTGACTTCGCTGGCAGGAATGATTCAGTGATAAATCCGCGCTAGTGTAAGAATGCAAATGAACGACAGAATTTCTCAGGTTAAAAATATATATAAATATATATTCTCAGTTTGGCTAGATCACCTCTTCGATGTGAGTTTTCGTGAATCTTTGAAGTTGATTATCAACATCAACGGATTAGAAAACTAAGGGCGGTTAGCGGGAAATAGTTGAGCCTTAAATCTGCATCAGTTCCTTTCAATTCTCTCGCTGCATAACTTCTTCTTTAGTGCACATCGCGTAGTTCATATCTTTGCAGTATGATTACGTTGAGCTGCCAGAGAAAAACCTATTTTTCCAGCTACATGCGCATGTGTTGGAAACTAAATTCGTTAGAAAAGAAATTTTACGTTGCACGTGGCTCAACAAAAAAAATGGAATTGAGGCTGTTGTCAGATATAAAATTTCATTCTGCCCAATACAGGAAATTTTGATCACAACAAATTTCAATACGGGCAAGAATTGTAAAAAATTACGTTATTAAAGTTGTTGTTTCATAAAATTTGAACAAATTCGCAGCGATAGTCTGGATCTGATATGTTGGCTCGAAGATGTTCTTCACTAAATGAATATTATTCCACAAATGTATACACAAAATTATCCAAACATAAATTGTGTGACTCGAATATGTGCCATTTTTCTGACCAAAACAAAAAGGATAATGGAGAAAGGATGATGGTAAGAAAAAAGAAATTGCCTTTTCGGGCGACATTTTCTCAAGGATATGAAAAAATATAATAATAGTAATAATGATAAGCTTGATAATAATATTGATAGGTATGATGATGTTGATGATAATGAAAATGATAATTATGATAATAATAGTAATAAAAGCCGTTTCCAGGTAAAAAGCGCACGTTTACACGATTTTGTTTGTATAGTAAACATTGCGATTAGAATTACGAAGTTTCTGTTCAATTATCTTCTCTTTCTTAAATTGCTTTTTATTCCAGCGTTGAAAAAGGTCGTATTAGTTACAACATATGTTAAGTCGACAAAGCTCCCTTAAGTGTTCAACGGAAAGGATATGTGAAGTCCTTTGATGAATGTTCATCCGAATGATATAGTCCTTTTCAATTAATTTCTATATCGCAAGAGATCAACAAGCTTGGAGCTTGCTTTCCATCGCAAAGAATGCGACAACATATAATGTTTTGCATGCTTCGACATGTTAATTCGAAAGTAGTTATCATAAACTAAATGGATTGAACAAAACTATACCTTTTTTTAATCGAATAATTAACTAACTGTTCCCTCAGGCGTAAACCTGTTTTAGGCGGGCGCTTGACTGTTTGTTTTTCTCTCGATGTTTTTGTAATCCCTTAGTTCTTATACGACTGTGAATATATGAATAATATATTTTATGTATGAAAGTCATATTCACCCCTTTATTCTTGTACTCCTTTTCTTTTTGGAAGCAAGGAAGGTTAACTTCTATGTAGTTATTAAGTCATCAAAAGCGGAGTACAACAGTGCATATGTGAAGTAAAACGAGTGACTCAGGCATCGCACTGCTCAGAATGATCCTAAATGATTGAGCCATTTTTTTGCGCCGTTTCTTCTCTTTCACAGGGCCCCACGTAAAAGTAAGTTAGCCATCTGAGTAAGTTAGCGCCAAAAACAGGTAACTCGCTGATTAAGCACTGCTATTAATATCCCCTACCGCCGCATTTCGCACTCGAAAAAAAAAAAAAAAAAAAAAAAAAAAAAAGCCGCCTTATCGCAGGTTATAAACGCCTGTTGGAAATGAAACTATTTCGATAATTCACGTAACGTTTTTACCGGCGGGAGTTTGTTAGTCGTCTATTGAGTCAAATAAAAATATCGCTGTTCACGAGAATTGGCAAAACGTTTTAATAACAATGCGGCCCGCCTTTAATTAGTGCGCTATGGTTAACTCTATCACACCTTGGGATTTACTTCACGCACCTAACCGTTGATTGACAGCAGCTGAAATCTGCAAGTGACTCAAGTATTCCCAAAGCTAATTCTGTTCACCAGTCACAGCTGCCTAGCTCTAGACATACTAACTGATATTCCGCTCGATGTTAGTTGGGCACTGTAAGTACATGTCGCTAAAGACTAATACTCTGCGCGATGCAAGGCCACCGAAAGTTGAAATACCCTTTTTAATTTTTATTTCGCTTTTATAGCTTCTTCTTTGCGAAAGTATTTGAACTAGTGAAATTATTCAACTCTGTACTGAAAGTAATATGCAGCCAAAATGATCAGAACTGGAATAACATGCCAAATAAACAAGGTTCAGTTGGTTTTACGCGTACCTGACAACCAAGAACGTGCTCGCAAAAGCTAATTGGGGAAAATGTGACTGAGAAGCTATCACTTCCCCAGGAAGCGCCATTTAGCTTACCACGGACGTGAAGGGTCTTGCCATGGTGGCGGCTCACAGTGTTTGAGCCCTTTGTTTACATTAATGAAATCAATTAAGTTTTCGAAGACTTGTGGAATGCTCCTTTTCGGGATCAGTCATTATTTATCGCTTGGGAGGGGGGAAGGGTATTAGCGCGGGATCCCATGGTTAAAGGGGGAACAGAGGGAGGGGATCGGGCGTCACCAACAAAGTACAAAGGGAGGACTGGAGAATTTCAGATAAGCCGTTGCGCAATTTGTCAACGCAAAACGATTATGTGGCTAGTCGTGTTCAAATCAATCTGCATCGTACCCAAATTAAAAAAGAAATAAAAGATCGTAACATGCGCGAAATCAAACCTTTTCTGCCATTAAAACATTCTCCCAGTGTCTTTCTCATGGAAACTTAAACAAGCACGGGGGAGGGAGGGGGGGGGGTGAGATGGGAGGGAGTAGAGTGAGTGATTACGCTCGAGACCAGCAAAATTCCAATCCTCTATACATATATACATAACTTTATTTCCGTTCGAATTTCAGAGTAGCATGGTGGTGCTAGTTTCTCCGAACAAAGAAACTGTCTAAGTGAGTAAATAAGTGAGTTCCATTCATCAAAACCACGAATGCAATTTAGTTATTAAATTACAATAAATAAAACCAATCAAATATATCAAAAAAGATAAGTAAAGTTACTTGTTGCTTAACAATAAAATGATCAATAGTATTCACAACAAGTATAACGAAAGTCTTAAATACAAATATCATTTTTAAAATCTTTTAAATCGTCGAGGTTCGAACATATTCGTCTACATCGTTACATCTTTTTGCAGCAAAATATTACAGGCGGAATATATATCAGAACAATACTTAACTTTCCTAGTGTTACTCTGTTTTCAATGATATAAAGGAGTATATGTTTTTTGTTGTTGGATACGAACCATATTTAGCCACAATGCTACAAAACGCTAGGAAATTCCTGCTATTACTTTGTGTGTGCGAGACGATTTATGCTTAACTATCTGTTTTTTTTAAATTGATTTTCTATGAAGTGTTTTACTTCCTTTCACTTTTTCTTTTTACTCTCTCTCAACCTAGTAGATATGAGCCTCTCTTGTTAATAATAAATAATCAAATTCTTCGTCTTCTGCTATGTGCCCTGAAACAATACTCTCCAGCCGCTGTAACAGGTCATGTTCTCTCTTACGTAATTTACGGAGGGAAGATTCGACGACATCCTCTAGAAATCTTACTTTCTTTTTTTCTCTACGTTTGCTGCAGTCGTCATTGCTTTTACTTTTCAGAGATTTTAACATGTTGCTTATCTTGTCGAACAATGCTTGTCTCCCTGTACTGCATTGCTGTTTATCTATTGTTTCTCTAGATCTTTTCTTCCCCCAAGCTACGATAGTTTGACTTGTTAAATCAAAGTTGAGATTGGAACTGTTCTTGGGGTCAAGGCCAACGTTTCCTAATTCTTTGTCCTTCACTTCTGCCAACGTTTTGGAGGTTCTCGACTGTTTCAATGTATTACTGATTGCATCGAAAAATTTTGTTCTTTCTTTTGAGCTCGAGCAACGGTTCTCATCGATAAGTTCATACAGTTCACTTTCGCTCACGTTGTTCTTAGCATCCAAAAGAGCATCGTTGATTATGCCGATAAAGAAGTTCATACAGAGAATGGTCAGAGTGAAGAGAATTAAGAAGGCGAATATTTTGGCGTATATGGTGTTAGCCTGTGCCAATTCATTGATTGGTCTAGCTTTCACTCGACCAAGAGTTAGCTCGAGTTGGAAATAAGCTCCTTTCAGAATCGAAGAGTAGCGCTCAGTTACAGAGCCAAACATCAAGACACCGAAGTGCAAAAATGCCACAAAGAAAATGGATAAAACGATGCTAAAGGATGACAAATATCGTGCAGATATCTTCAATGTTTTGGAGAATAGAACAACATAGTTGTTGAAGCGAATGATCCGCAATAGCTTGATGGTGACGATGAAAATAAGAATTCCAATTACGACATTTTCCACTTCTTGGCAAGTGATAGCTTCTTGGAAACTTAGATTTTCGTAAATGTTTCTATGCAGTTTGCCCATGGTTGACATGACTTTACTTTGTCGTATTATGTACATCACCACGGCAATTAAAGAGAAGACAATTTGGAATATCTCGATCCAATTCCACATGAGCTTGAAATATCGAAAACGATGATTGTAAAGCCTGAAAATTTCTCTAACAAAATACAGTAAAACAAATACAATGTACAGAAACAAGCAAATAAAATAAAACTGATGCGAGGGTGTTCCCGTAGAATCAAGTGAAAGAACACGAGTTTGCATGGAGGCTGCTATCAGTCCAGATGCATCAACTTCATAGAAGTATGTGGCAACACCTAAAATATTCACCGACGGATTGAATGTCGAAAACTCTGCCAGGACAACTCTCGTTTTTCTGTCAAGCCAACCGTTGTTCTGTAAACTTGTTATTATGCTGAATCCCGTATGGTTATCATACCCAAGGTCTGCTACAAATCCTCCTCCATCATAAAAGGAGAACTGTCCCCACCTGGGTGTAGTGTCGGTTTTCTTGGCATGTTGATATCGCCATGGCTGCGGGCAAAGTAGTAATAACTCGTCATTCCTCAAAGCATTGTCGACAGGCCTCCAGCCAGGTTTGCTGTAGGCGGTCTTGTCTTCGTTCTCTGTAGAGTATCCCTTGAAACATTCTTGGAATGATGTTTCCATATAATTTAGGACTTTGCATTGAGCTGAAAGTTAGAAAACAAATGGTCATAATCAGAAGGTTTGTTTTGGTATCCATCTCACTCAGCGGTTTGTCAAATTTCGTACTTTTAAATAAACATGGAAATTTCTGTTATTATCATTCAAAGTAGCATTTGCCTACGGAACAAAGGAACGCCACCATTAAAACCCAAATTTAACTAACGTTCATAAACAAAACCTAGCTATGTAAACACTTCTTTAGACAATTGTTACAATGTTCAGCAGCACTGAAATGCAAAAAAAGTAAGAATGGAAAAAACTTACTGGCTTTCACTCTAAGTTGCCGTACTCGAGCCATTCCGACAAGAAGAGAGTGTTTATTACCAATATAGATTGTTTGCTCTTCGTTTCGACCGTTATACCATCTGCCAGAAAACACTCCCGGGATGAAAACACGCTGTAACCAGTTCCAGTACATTGTATTGTTTGTCACCTGGATTATTAGAAGATCATTGGGTTAAATAAATGAATAAATAAATAAATAAATGAATAAATAGAAATATATATATACATACATAATATATATATATATATATATATATATATATATATGTACTTTTAAGTACAGTATAGTATGCATAGATGAGTAGAACCGGTTTGAGTCACACAAACGAGTTAGTATTTATGGGCATGCTGTAGACTATTATTCCCACGTGCTCATTCCCATGGTACCCAACCCCTTAAATAGTATGTTTGTATGAGGTAGCCGCTTTAACACGCGAGTTTTAGCAATGGAATTATCGTAATGAAATAATGTCTACTCACCTTGTCAAAGTTTGGTAGTCCATCTCGGATTGATTTCGTCATGAAGTAACGATGGTCATTTCGGTTTCCATAACACACTGCCATAAGCAAGAAAGCGAAGACCAAGTATAAACCCAACTCTGTGAAATAACGTGCCAGGTTCTGTTTCTTAACTTGTCGTCTCCTCATCTCTTCCACCTCTGATAATTTCAGTGCCCAAAAATGTTTCTTATAGTACCCAGTTTTAACTTGCTGAGGGCCTTCGCAGGCGTGTACTTTTGATCTCTTCGCCTTTATCTTTAAAATGGCCGCGAATGTTAAAGCTGTGAAGAACACTTTTACTGGTTCCTTGATTGTTACATCCTGTGCGAATGAAATAAACATCGAAGACAGCCACTGCTCACTGACACTCTTTTCCCAAATTAGACTGTAGGAAATTGAAAACGCAGCCGAAACAGTACAAGAAAAACATAACAAACACCAAGCGACACCACAGATCAGGGTACCTTTGAGACAATGGTCATTGTTCTTCGCAGACTTTTCAGCTCCTTTCTGAAACAGAAACACTATGACAATGTTTATGGGCGTCACAAGGAGCGCGCTTTCAATTCCAGTCACCACTTGTCTCCACGACATTTTCAGCGGTCCGACTTGGATAGGCTGTTCATATTTGCCTTCTAACTTATAGAACATCGCGTTAGCAAACATGGATGTCAAAAGTACTGAAAGGCAGCAAGAAAGCCGCTGCACTCTTGTAAAGTGGCTTTTTCTTAGCTTGGCTGCCACTGAAATCCAAATGTGCCACTCCGCGAGGCCTCTTCGCCAACGTCTTGCAACTTCATCGCCAAAATCCAGATGATTTGAGTTCTTGTCGATTATTCGCTCGATGCGCCCGTCTCCGCGCTCAAGAGCAAACCACTGATTGGCCATGAATTTCCACGACTGCTTGGATTGTACGTCCCGAATGACAATTTCCTCCAGGTACCACGAGGGATTATCTCCAAAATTATCATGTCCAATCTGTAATTCTTGAATCGAACCAAGTGATTTGTTAACATAAAGTACAAAAACATCTGAATTACCTCGAGAGAATAACGTTTGAACTGCACCAGGCTCTTCTTGGCTAAGCTGAAGAATACCACTCTTTCCTTCAGAACCGTAGATCTCCAAAGCAACATGAGCAGTCGTGCTGGAGTTTTTCCAAGCCCCTGTGGTAATCACTATAACGTATTCATAGGTGCTGCTTGAAGATGATGGAAGTTGGATCGGTAATTCCCTCTAGAAAAACATGATAAACCATGAGTTCTTAACACAGCTAGCTAATTTGTATTCTTAATTCGCCTTTTTGTCCCATTCCAAAAAGAGAAAAAAAACCCGTAAACTTTGTAAACAGTTTAATTTAATTAGCTGTCACTTCACTTTTAAACATTATTTTTTTTCAAGGATATGCTCAACGCAGTTTCAAGTTAAAATTTCAATCTCAAAAAACCTTGAAAACTAATTATGTTGTCAACATTAAAACCTTTTTTATTTAAACCGTTTAACTCCCAGAGATTATCAACATGTAACTTCTCCCAAAAATGTCCGCGCATTATCCAGGTACAAGGTTATGAGAATATTCAAATTTATCAGGGAGAAGTTGTTATCTTGATCTATTAGCAACTTTTCATGACTTTTTTACAAAAAAAAAAAAAAAAGATGTATGGCAACCGGAGGAGAGAATTGACGACCAGATCATGAAAGTGAAAGGGTTATACTGGAGAGCATGCTCTGTTAAAACAATGGTCCTAAGCAAAATCTAGTTCGACACTTACATTTTTCGCGTCTTCCTTGTCGAATTTCCTTACGACAACAAGCACAGTCATATAACACAATAAAACCACCGCAATAGCCACGATTACTGCAATATTTCCAGTTTCTGATAACTGCTGAAACTCGACTAGAACCTTGTCGAAGTCAATAGGATTCGGTTCGACTAAGAGACTTCCCCCAAATGATGTCAAATGGCTACAGCTACAGTTTAAAAATCCATTTAATTCTGCTAAAACCTGAAATTATAAAATACAAGGAAGATGTTAACAATAAAAATTATCATTTTGGCTGTCAACACTGATCACACTGTATCTTTTCTGTTTAAAGGCGCTGCTAGGCCCCAGCTGGTTATCAAATCGATTCGACTTTTGTCTAGTCAAAGATTAGCCTGAATTCAATGATAGGCTTAATGAGTTAAGACTACCACAAAACGACTTGCTTTTGCAAACAATACTCGGGAAAGCTCAAATCATCTGAACTTTGTCGAATACAATGTCAAATTATAAAAAAAAAAAAAGATTGTCCTGAAAATCGTCCCTTAACTTTTCACTTACCCGACAGCCAGATGATATCCACTTGTCAAAATTTTCTGACCAGTAAACACAACTACCCAAGGTCACCTTCAGAGTGTAGTTCTGGTCTGTTGTGGAATCATAAACTGGCATCACAGGGACATTTTCACTCTGGGGTGGGGTGGGTGGTGGATCTTTGACTTCGACGCAGGAGCGCTTCCTTCGCCTTCCACCAAGACAAGATCTTTTCTCCCTTTTATGAGATAAGTTCACTGTGGCATTGTAATTTTTTAAGCCGAGAAAGTACTTCCCGGGACGCTCAGCCAGAACTTGTATCGGTGTATGTGGATTCAAGGAGCAAACTGTTTGCCCTTCACTTTTGTTCTGAGCACTTATCATCCAGACACACTTTTTGTCATAAGAGATAGTAGCATTGAAGTCGTAGTTTTGAGTTGTCGGTCGCTGACTAAAACGCATATAGACAAACAGATGTACGGTTGGATCTTGAGGTTTGATTTCCAGCATCAGCAGGGTGTTTTCATACTTGACGTTTATCTCGTGGAAACGTAGATCATCGTTCTTTGTGAAATACCATGACTTTTCTGAAGCAGAGATTTTCTGAAGTTTTAAAGGCGTGACGATAACAATGTCTTCCGTGAGATTTGATACTTTAATAAGCTCGCTATCGTTGTTTTTCAAGAGCAGGGTTACAACATCAGAGCCAACTCGCTCCTTTGTGGCGTCCCAAGTGTAAGGATTGAAAGAAAATGAGAGCATCTAAAAGAAGAATAATTAAGAATTTTGCATGTTCGTTTTTGTGGACTGTTATAATTGAACACGTAAACATGGTACTCCGTCTTACTATTAATCATAAGTTATCATAAGTTGAGATCAAAATAAAACTGAAAATATATTTTAAAAAAAACGAAAAATAAATAACATTCATGTGGTCTCTTCGGTCACATGACTCGATTCTTTTTTGCTGCCCAAGTGCCAGAGTTGAACACGTCAAAAGCAAAACAAGAAATATGATTGCTGGAGGTAATAAGCAACCTTTAAGGTACATAAAGTGCTATTTTAACTTGACTGGTGTCGGTATCTGCAAAAAAAAAAAACTTGGATTGAAATTTGCCTGAAGGGCAGGAATACTTACCTGAACATTTACAAAACTTGTTTTGTTTACTCCAGAGAGTAACAATTGGCTTTTAGACGGTAAGATAAACCGGTCTTTTTCCTGCTTTTATTTCCAGTCCTGAAAGTCTTTGGAGGCTATATCTTCCGAGTGTCATGGATAGTTGTCCTGCCGTGAATGATATCGTTCTTTCATCAGGTACTGTCAAGGCCAACACTGAGTCTGCAACTTTCTCGAGGGTCTTCATTGAAATCTTCACCAGTAGTTTACCCTGTAGAAATTTCATAAATAACCATATAATGTAAGCAAACTATGGATTTTCGCAAGCTTAAAACAAACATACATACAAACAAACCTTAAAAGGTCCCAAATATGAATGAAGAAGGGAGTAACGGTTAAGTTTACAACAATCATCAATGGACCATTCGCCAATGAATATAGACTAATGTACATTACAGTACCAGTTGTTGAAAACTTGATTTGAAGTTTTCTGATGCAATCACTGCTGCTGCCTTCAACACGCTATTAAGACATGAAGCCAAGTTTTCTGCTGATTGCTTTGTCAGTGGTATGTCTGCTACGTCTTGTTTCTGGGCAAGAGACCATAGTCGTGACGTCATTGAACTGATAGCAGATAAGGAGAAATTCTGTGGAGTGCAAATGAATTTAAATGAAGCTAAAAATGCTTGCTTTCAGATTTCTTTCCTATGACCGTCCTAGAGATAATTTGTGGCGAATTAGTTAAAGTATGTACAAAACTATAGGTTGGTTCATTTGATAACGCAATAGTTGCTTGTTTTTATGCTTGTTCATTTCCGTTTTCTTCGTCTTTGCTGTTGTTGTTATTGCTGTTTTTCTGAGCTTTTCTGGTCAAATAGTTTCACGGTATGAAAACTTGACGTAACCACCAACGCTATTCCAGCCCCAAACAATATTACGTAATTAACTTACCAAAAATTGATGGGGCACTTTCTTCAGAACAAGAAGAGCAGAGCCGATAACTGATGATTTTTGAAGCAGGTCGAAGACAGTTTTCGCTTCCAAGGGCGAAATTTTATCAAGGATGTCGTTCATCACCTTAAACAACGATAAAGATATTAGCTTAAAGTTATTTAAACCAGTAAAGAAATAGGCAACCAGACTGTATCCCCCATGTGAGGCTCGTTCCAAAGATATAGATCTAAAGGCATATTTAGACTCAACGTATCAGGTTTCCCTATGACATTGCCAGTTAAAACCCATCAAATGATTTGCAAGGGCATGATTGATCTAAATGCATCAAATCACCGAAAACGTCTAAGCAGGAAAAAAAAGGAATAGTTGGTGATTTCAGCCCTTGAAAAAATTTAAACCTAATTTTCAAGACGTTGTAAGTCTTAGTTTGAGATTTATTCAAAGCTCTAGAGCCTTCTTTACTCGTCACAACGGAAGACGGAAGGTACACAATGAGCCCGCCAGAATAATGGAAAGTGAACATCTAACGCGGTACGAAACGATTCTCGCGCTGCAAAAACATCAGATATTTAACGCAAGCCTCTATTTTTCTCAAAAATATGTTCATATATTTAATGTATTATATTTGTCCGTTTTCGAAAGTTGATTTATTATTATCATTATTATTATTATTATCATCATTATAATTATACTTCTTAATACAAATTCTTTATTCTTTTTTTTTTTTTGTATGTTTAGCTCTTGGTAAACTCTTTACTTTTCGGGTACGATCGTAATTAACTAGTTTTGTTTCACTTTTTAAGGAACAAGTTGCGTTTTAAAAGTACGTACCTTGTATCTCTCCTGAAAACCCATTGAGGTTTCTTGTGAAACTGATCGCAGGAATGAGTTTGCTATTAGCGCCGCTTCTTTCAGGTTTCCGATCTCGATGAATTTCTGAAATGTACTGCCCTTTGCCATTAGAAGGCTTCTGTTCTGAGATGGCTGGATCTGCAAAAGTCAAAAGCAGGTATCTATAACTACTACTGATCTATTACTTATAGGGACCAATGTAAATTAAAATTTTCTCACATCCTTTCATGCTAGACGTTAAACTAATGGTTAGCGACCTACCTGAACTTTCAAAGAGACTGGGGAGGCAGAAATTCCACAATTGTAGGTCACTGTAGCGATAACTTTGACAGTAAAATTATCTGTACTGATCCCAGGCGGTATCCAAGAGGTAGTTATGTTGTTGTTAACGCCACGATATAACACACTGTACAAGCCATTCTCTAGCCTGTATTGAAACTGGTAGGACAGAGGGGTGTTGTCACTTTCCCAGTTGCTACAGCACAGATTGAAATCAGTCTTCAGTGAGATGCCGCTTGGTGGAGTGATGGAGCAGTCCCCCCCTGTAGGGAGTATTGCTGTTGAAAAAATCGTAAACATTACAATCAGTCTCAATCCCTACACCATATGGACCATTAACAGAGTCAGGAGAAAAAATGTATGCACAATTTCTTGCAATTACCGGTACAGAAAGGTTCTAAATAGACCTGTGATATCTAACAACAGGAGTTCCAGATATATTGAAAGAAAATAAAATTAAGTCGAAAAATTAGAATGCAGCGTGAGCTGGAAAAGCAAGATTATAAAAAAAGGGAGTACACTCATACAGGTTACTTTAATGAGAAATCTAAGCAAAATATCCGCCGCATTTAACCCTTTACTGTGTACTGTATAAAATATCATAACTTGCTGCGACAGCGATGGCGACGGCGATGCTTAAGATGGATGAGAATGTTAATCTTCGATTACAACGACATGTTAACCTAGCTCTTTTTTGCTGTTTACGGCTTTTCTTCTGGCACAGGTTTGTATATTTTTCAAAATATTGGGTAGCGAATGACAGTTTTTTCAACATCTACATGTGATATTTTATAATCGTACACATGCATTATGGATGAGAATGTTAATGTTGACGTGTTAAAACTCGTATTTACTGTAGATTTCCTGCATACCTTAAGCCTCATGGCGATGACTTCAAAACTTTGATGCTCACTTAAAGGAGAATGAAAATGTTAATTTCGATTATTTAACCGAGCTCTTTTTTAGGTTATTATAGATCATACCTTGTGAGTCAAACGTTCTTGCGACAACTTCGATCAAGACTTATGTACAACTACCGGTAATGCACAGTTTTTTATATTTTTCAAAATATTGGGTAGTGAATGACAAGGAACGCAAACGGTAATTTCAAGCTTGTCACCATTACTCAATTTACAAAACTTGAATGAAACAGATATTTTATACGTAAGTGGACGCTAGCGAGGACCTTTTTGGTTTCCTTACAACACAGGTTTTACTAGATGCGTTATAACACCTCAAGTCGCCGCTGTTACGAAGTGCTACACCTGAGTACATAGGATATAGTGTATAGTATATAGTATCATACCTTGCTGCGAAAGCGATGGCGACGGCGAAGGCGAAGGCGAAGGCGAAGGCGACGGCAACAGCGACGGCGACGGCAACGGCGAAGGCGACGGCAACAGCGACGGTGACGGCAACAGCGACGGTGACGGCAACAGCGACGGTGACGGCGATGGCGATGGCGATGGCGATGGCGAAGGCGATGGCGATGGCGATGGCGATGGCGATGGCGATGCTAAAGATTAATGAGAATGTTAATCTTCCATTAGAATAACATGTCAACTCCGATGGCGATGGCGATTACTAATTACGATGTAGATGGCGATCATGGCGATGGCGATGCGACGGCGATGGCGATGGCGATGCTTAAGATGGGTGAGAATGTTAATCTTCGATTAGAACGACATGTTAACCCCGCTCTTTTTTACTAATTACTGTAGATACTATCATACCTTGCTGCGACGGCGACGGCGACGGCGACGGCCACGGCCACGGCCACGGCCACGGCCACGGCGATGGCCACGGCGACAGCGACGGCGACGGCGAAGGCGAAGGCGAAGGCGATGCTTAAGATGGATGAAAATGTTAATCTTCGATTAGAACGAGATGTTAACCGAGCTCTTTTTTACTGTTTACTGTATATAGTATCATACCTTGCTGCGACGGCGATGCTTAAGATGGATGAGAATATTAATCTTCGATTACAACAACATGAACCGATCTCTTTTTGCATTTTAGGGCTTTTTTCTCCTGGGACAGGTTTGTAAATTTTTCAAAATATTGGGTAGCGAATGACAGGGAACGCAAACGGTAATTTTAAGCTTGTCACCATTACTCAATTTATGTTTTGTACTTGGGACATATTTCACGCCATTATAGTGACCAACTCTTCTTCATGCAGATTCCCTATAAACCTGTAGTTTAAGCCTCATGAAACTTTGAAACTTTGATGCACACTTCAAAAGGAGAATGAAAAATAAATTTCACATTTCTATTTAATGTTCAGTTTAGGTTATTTTAAGGTAAAATTGAGTCAAATGTTCTTGGGACAACATGATCAAGACTATGTACAACTACCGGTAATTTATGAATGTTAGCCTACCTGGAACGATAACCTTCAAATACAGTTTACGCATTAATCCTTAAAACCCTTCTA